CATCAAAAACAACCAGTTTGCCTTTTGGTATTTTTTACCTCCGTTTACTACCAATGTTATTGGTAAGCAGGGCTAGCGGAGCAAAGAGGCCGCACGTTCCAACTTCTCACTGTTCGCTCCGGGCCTACATCTGCGGTAGCCAATTGTGCCAGCGGATGCTGGGTCCATAGTTGCCTTTCAATTCATACCGCACATTTTACTCTTGTTATGTTGGTTTTGTACATATATACGCGCACGTGTACATCAAGGAGAATGTGTCGTGGATAAGACTTGCCTTCTTTCATTTACTTTGTCTGGTGCAAGGGGGTCAAATAACTACATTAGCATGGCTTCAACTTTAAATTCGTTACTTTACTCTGCCGGCTACCCTCGTTTCCTTCGCAATTTAAAAGGCACAGAATGACTTAGTGCCTCACCAAAGGCCGTGCGTTAGCGGCAGAATATGCTGGAATGCGAATGTGGCCTTCATTGGTTGCCGTCTGTTTCTTGGGCTGCATTTGAGCGCAGTTTTATCTTATCGGTGGTATTGCATCCGTTCATAGGAAATACGCGTCTCAGGGCGATTGATGTTCACCAGTTTGCATTGACTGCAAGAAGTAGTGTGGACGGTTCGGTTTTCAGATCCTATTTCAAGTAGCATGACGACGAGCAAACAGTAATAAGGTAGCGTTACTGACAATAGAAAGGGAGTTGACTGACAGGAAAATGGCCTTTGATTCGAGTGGCTAATCCTTCAAAAAATTTTTTCCGGTGACCAACGAGAGTGAATTGAGGTCTTCACAGCCCATGAGTGGTGGCGAGGCATGCTAAGGGGCGGCGCACAGTGAAACGGTCTTTGGAAAGGCTATGCGAGCCGCGAGCGAGGCTTTATGGACCGACAGCAACAGTGTAACGCCGAAACTGTGCTCACAGATCCGGCTGTACTTTGGAGCTTGGTCTACAGCTCTGCATGCAATGGCAGAGACTAGCAGCATAGAAGGCAGGAAGGGGTTGTCGCCTATGATATTTGCCCCACCTGTGCAGCTCTAGATTGAACCTCAAAGCACAACAGGACGAGCATATCCTGCAACTCTATCGGTGAACGCAATTCAGACTTAGTCTGTCGTTGATCGCATCGGACGGGATAACCAGCCCGTTGCTCAATTATTAGGGTATTTGGCTCAGTGACCAGGTATCCCGTATCCGGATCTCGTGGCAGGCTGATGACGATCAATAAACTAGGAATGGCTATTCCAGACTTGCCTATGACTTCGTGCAGCGAAGGGACTATCAGAGCGCCGGAGGGCTCAGGTCTGGCATGATGACTGCTTCATAAAGTGCTGCCAAGTGCGACGAGAGCATTGTGATACGGCAATCGTGTACTGTCGTTAGATAAGTTTGCTCGTTACCACTTACGTACAGCGAATGTCCTTAAGAGACAACCTTGAGCGAACTATGTTAGAAGCTGTTAGATGCGGTTAAAAACCCAACCGAGGTAAACTTGACTGCCAATAGAAGTGAATATGCGAGTTCTAAGTAGCAGTTCAGAAGAAGAAGATGCGACC